ACGTGAAAGGAATCAGGCTGGATGATTGCTGGATTATTTTTGTAACCTTCTTATTTCGGGAAGTAGTGACATATGCCAAAACAGACAGTATAGTATAAAGAATCTCTTTTACCCATAACCCAGCTTCAACAGTTAAGCTTGTTTCCTTTATACCACATCTATTCTCTGCTTCACCCCCTTAACATTTTGAAAGATAATCTCAGACATTATGTAATTTCTTTTGTGAATATTTCAGAATATATCTCTAAAAGATAATGGCTCTTTTAGAATTTATAAAATCTAATGGTGAATTGAAACTATATCATAGTAATAATAAATGTGTCACTTAGAGTAATTTTTTGCTTTAAATATATTTTATATGATACCATTACAGCTTCATCAGATGTCTTTGCATTTTGGTGGTATTCTTTTTCCATTCTTTAATCTTCAACTTTTCTGTATCCTTATGCTTTAGGTGTGTTTCTTATTAACAGTATATGTTTGAATTTCTTTCAATCTAGTATATCCATTTTGGTTTATTAATTGGACTATTTATTCCATTTGCATTGAGTATAATAAGAGATCTATTCGCATCTAAACCTACAATCTTACCAAACACATTCCATTTGTTTCACCTGTTCTTACCTTCTTTTGATTTTATTTAAATAATTGTTTTCTTTTTCTGCTTTTCTTAGTTTGGAAGTTACTCATTATTTCAGTTTTACTTTAGAAGTTGTTATACAGATTACAGAATGCATCCTTAACTTATGAAAGTCCAGTGCTAATTAGACTAGCTCTTTTCCTCTGTTCCTTCAGGCCAGCAGAAATGTGTGTCTGGGCCATTGGTTGTGCTTCTTCATTCTGTTCCATTAGCCTTTGTTACTTCTAAAAGTCCTTCCCAGGTTATGGCTGTAAGCCAGTTGTTTTTTGTTATTGTGAGAGTTCGATCTTTTTTGCTCCTCTAGAGGTATTTTAAGAGGAAGTTGGGAAAGGCTGTGCCTGTGACAACAGCCTGTGCTATTCAGTTTGAAGCTGATGAATTAGGGAGTTATTAATGTTATATGCATAAGGATTTAACATAGATTTCTTTGAATAGTGACAATGTCCTGGACTTTAAAAATAGAGTTTGAGTACTCACAGTGTTTCAGGAGGGATATGGATAGAAGGAAGAGGCCACACTTATACCCTTGTTTCATGATTTATTTAGCCAAGGATACAGAACTTTGAAGAAGTGGAACGGCTGCACAGAGCAGAAGCAGATGGGGGCCACATCATAGCTCAGTTTTCGACCAGCTTCTTTGCTTCCTAAAAGGACATCAGCTGCTGGTCACATATTCTGAGTGGGCAGGTACCAGAATACCTTGTCATTTGATCCAATTGGGCAATTTATTAGTGTTACAGGTTTGAACCATTTTCTTAAACTTTCTGGGCCCTAGGTACCTAGTCTGTCAAATGGGAATACTAGTTACTCCAATAGAGTGTTACTTTGACTACATTTGAGATATTAGAAAAGTTGAAAGATAATAATGTCCAACACAAATGAAAGGTAACGTGTTGCTTAGGAAATTACGTCTGGAAGTTAGGGAACTCGAGTCGTTCTAAAGCCCCTGCATGTGAAAGCCACGTGTTGCGAATTTGTGATAAAATGCTTAGAACTTTAAGAATGAGCAGCTGGAAGATGCTTGTACTAGGAGTTGGGAGAGAGCTGGTTTAGCTAAGCTACCAAGGGACAAGTAACCTTTCCTCTTTGGCTGTTTTCCCAACTTTAAAGTGAGTGAGTTGAACAAGATGAACTTGAAGGCCATCACGTGTGTAGCATTCTCTGATTCAGGTGACACGTCTGAAGTATGTATGTGAAGTGGTCCAGGTCCACTTGGTTGAAGTTTTCCTGGAACTCCCATTATTGATCCAATGAGGTGTGAGGGCAGAAGAGGCCACCAAGAGCCCCCTGAGGATGTCTGTGGTGGGGACAGAGGGGTGATGTGATGTTGGATTCTCCTGTATCACTTACTTGAGATTGCAGGGGGAAACCCATGGGGCCCAGAGCTGGGTGGGGGGGCGCCTAATCTCAAGGGGGCAAGTAACAGGCCCAACTTTATAATTGGGTTAATTATAGGTAGGTTCTTTAACCTCCCAATGAAGCAATTGGGAAATTGACTTTTGCTCTTCTCAGAAATTCCCCAGACAGAGGATGCAAGAAAAGTTTAGGGAATTTAATTCTCTGATTTTAATTTTCCATTTCATACACCTTAAATGCTTCAGGCTTCTCAGTTCTCGTTTTAGTGGGTTTTAGTGTAGACTGACCCTGTTCTATTTTCCTAGTGACTTGCTTAGCAAGAAAGCAATTAGTGCTGGAGTTGGCACACGGAGGTGAGGCATTCATAGCACCTGGTGAGTCCGTAGAGGAAGGTTAGCATTTAGCAGTGTCTTTTAGGGGTGGAAAGATTCTGAATCGGTTGTATTCACTGAGCCCTTCCCATAGGTGAGCAGATCCTGAGGCGGGGTCTTTCACACACGTTGGCGTTACTCTTGCTTCCACATGCTTCTGCACAGGGGGAACTTTCGTATTTGCTCACTGTTTCAGCTGGTGGGGCAGATCTGAGACATCATCCTGTTAAAGCCTGACCTATCTAGTTAAAGAACAGGGTGAGAAACTCACTTTATATCTTGGCTTAGAGCAGCTGTTACAGCCATTCTCACCAGAGCCATAGGTAACCTGGCCAGTGTGGAATAGTTTGCAAAACTAGTTTTCTTAATCAACTGCTATGTATTTTTCAGGAATATTCTTTTGAAGAATTCAAGGGGCCTGTCTAAGACATTCTTACATCTGGCCTTCTCTGGGAGAAATAAAAGTATTAGCCCATCTGACCCTGGATGGAGATCAGTCTACACAGAAACCGAAATTTTGCTGAGAAGCAATTTTGAGCCAAGATTTCCAAGTTTTAGAGCGGTGAGCACTAACACACTATTTATATTTCTTTGATCTCTTTGTCTTTAGACTTTGTTTCTCAATCCAAATTGTTCTGCAACCTGTGAAACTAACCAGGCTCCCTAACAGGTGTAAGAAAAAAGCTGCGAAGGGAAAAAGATGAAGCCACCCAGCATCAACCTCTGTCCTTGGAGGAAAGTATGGAGAAGGGGAAATGTGTGAGGAGGTAACAAGTCAGAAGGCATTTCATTCATTCGTTTAGTTATTTATTGTTAACTAATTAAATTGGGTGACAAAAGATGCAAAACGTTTACCATCTTAACCATTTTTAAGTGTACAGTTCAGTGGTATCAAAGTCTATTCACACAGTTGTGCAACCATCACCACCCTCCATCTCCAGAACACCTTTCATTGGCCAAAACTCTCACCCTGCCCTTAGATACTAGCTCCACATTCTGCCCTCCTCCAGCCCCTGGAAACCACCATTCTACTTTCTGTCCCCATGAATTTGACTACTCTAGGTACCTCATATAAGTGGACTCATAGAATATATTTTTCTCTGTAACTGGCTCAGCATGTCACTTAGCATGTTTGGTTGCATTTTATAACATAGCTGTCTGTTCTAAGGGCTTGTATAAGATGCTTAAATCAGAACCCCGGGACACTGCAAGTTGCAAAGCAAAGGTGAGTGTCAGGCTCACCTTGCTGCCTCCTGCAGCAAGAGCACTTTAATGAAACTCCATGACACACTGCACTAACGGGGTGATGAAACTGAATAACAGCATAATCAATTATAATCTATAGTTTATAATTGGCTTTTAACATTTGTGAGCTCATTTAATTCTCAAAACAGCACTATGCAGAAGGCATTTTTATTTTCGTTTTTTAGATGAAAATTATGTGCTTGGAAGCATTTCTGTGCTATTTAAATGCCACACAGCTCCTAAGCATCAATGCTAGGATTTGAACTCAGGACTCCTGATATCAAACCCTGTGTTCCTGTCACCAGACCACAGTGCCACAACTGTTCTCCCACATGCAGAGGGCTGGATTGGACTGCAAGCTCCCTCTTGAAGTGGGCGATTCGGGATACCTTCAGCTTGCTGGCAGGGCTTGTTTCACCCCGAAGGAATGACCACTTCAAAGGCTGTGATTGTGATTTTCTGTGTCTGATCCTTCTTCATCAGTCTCAGGGTCCTCCGTAGCACGTGTTGGGGTCTCCTAACATGCTGTTGCTTCAGGAGGCAGTCTCGATACCCAGCTTAGAGGCTTTCTTTGTGTAGACTTACTGTGCTCTGAGACTCTGACCTAAGCACGCTTTGACAACTCCATGGAACAACAGGGTGTAAGAAAACGGGACTTAAATGTCTGAATTGTTTCTTAGCTATTGGTCCGTGGACCATTGAGGCAGCCTGTTATGAACTTACATTTCCCCCTTTCCATATCCACCTCCAAGGACAGTGGTTAAATCTTGGTGAATCTGTTCTTCTGTCAGCTTCTTTCTTATGACTGTTAGGGAGCCTGGTTAGTTTCAAGGTTGCAGAATAATTGGGGTTGAGAAAGTTATTTCTGTGATGTTTCTCCTCATGTACACTATAAAATATTGGTTCCACATTATTGCACAAGGCAAATTGACCTGAAACCACTATTATGCCATCACTATAAGGCACTCTTTAGTTGTAGAAGATGTAGTGGAAGCATCTGCATTTTGAAAAATACAGGCCTGGGTTCAAATATGAGCTGTGTGGCCTTGGGCAAGTGACTAACCCTCTTCGAGTCTCAGCTTTCTTATCTATAAAATGTTCTCTCATTTTTGTTGTGAGGGTTCAATCAGCTAATGCTTGTGCCTGGGTCAGAGAAAACACTACAAAGCAGCATCATCACAGTCAAGTTTTATTTTGGGAACACTATCAAGCAGCTGATGATTGCTGTTTTGTTTGCTCGTAGAAAACGTGTTTTGGGGAAATCCAAAGCAGAGAGAGAACTCAAGAGGGAGCAGAATAATAGTCCTCATGGCCTGAGAAGGATGTTTCTAATTGAGGAGAGTTCTTTGATTTTGTGATTCCAGGCTCTTATCCCCATGCTTTAAAGCATGGCTGTTATAAGCAATGTGAGTGACGTCATTTTTTTGGGATTTTCCCAGAACCAGGATGAGCAGAAAGTTATTTCTGTGATGTTTCTCCTCATGTACACAGCCGTCGTGATGGGCAATGGCCTCATCGTGGTGACCATCGTGGCCAGCAGAGGGCTCACCTCCCCCATGTATTTCTTCCTCAGCTACTTGTCCTTTGTGGAGATCTGCTACTGTTCTGTCACGGCCCCCAGGCTCATCTTTGACTCTTTCACCGAAAGGAAAGTCATTTCCCTCAAGGGTTGCATCACACAGATATTTTTCCTCCATTTCTTTGGTGGCACCGAGATCTTTCTCCTGACAGTGATGGCCTACGACCGCTACGTGGCCATCTGCAAGCCCTTGCACTACGCCACCATCATGAACCAACGAGTGCGTGGCCTCCTGGTGGGGGTGGCATGGGCTGGGGGTCTGCTGCATTCCGTTGGGCAAACTGTCCTCATTTTCCAGCTGCCCTTCTGTGGCCCTAACATCATTGACCACTACTTCTGTGACGTCCACCCGGTGCTGAAGCTGGCCTGTGCCAACACTTTCCTCATTGGCCTGCTAATCATCGCCAATGGCGGCTCCATCTCGGTGATCAGCTTCTCGGTGCTGCTTGCTTCCTACCTGGTCATCCTGCGCTCCCTGAGGAGCCGCACCTCAGAGGGCCGGCGCAAGGCCCTCTCCACCTGTGCCTCCCACGTTGCCGTGGTGGGCCTGTTCTTCATACCCTGCTCCTTTGTCTACATGAGGCCCTGTGTCACCCTCCCTGCAGACAAGATAGTCGCCGTATTTTACACAATGGTCACGCCACTCTTAAACCCTGTCATTTACTCTTTCAGGAATGCTGAAGTGAAAAATGCCATGAGGAGACTCGTGGGAAGGAGAGTGATTTGGGAAGAGAAATAGATGATTGATTTAGGGAAGACAGGGGGAGTATGGGGTGGGACAATGGGACACCTAAGGTCTCATTCTGGCTCTGTCTTACCTGATGGGGAGGTCTTGGGCCAGTCCCCTTCTTTCTTGAAGTTTCAGTTTCCTCATTTTTATGGCATTGGACAAGATTGAAAGGGTAAGAGGGGCCTTTTAGCGCTGCGGTTCCACATCTGAGGGTGGCCTCGAGGCAGGTTGCCTGGTCTGGAGGGAATGAACTCTTCCAGAAAGCCAGGTCAGTCTGGGAGTGGTGAAGGGGCAGGTTAGACGAGAAGGACTGTCTCAGGGAGCAGTGGTCATATGTCTTTTGGGTTTGAACACTCACATGTGTAGAAATTCTCTTGACCTGCCATAGCGAGGATTTGCCCAGAGAGTTCTGGGCAGGCCAAGCTGACTTAGCAGGGTTTAGTCCTCAGAACAGAAAGTGTTGACTCTTGTGGAGAGATTCACACGAGCGTGTGCTAGCATTAGACTCGGGTTTCTAAAGAATCAAATGGAACCACAGGGAGATTTTAAGTGATTTGAAAACCCTTGACAATGATGTCCACTCTGTAGGCACAAGTTTTATTTCCCTGGGTTCCAAGCTCTAAAGTTCTCTTCTGTTCACGCTCGTCTGCCCTTGATCCCCTATTTTACCTCCTTCTGCCTCCAGCTGTTTGGCCCATTAGTTTCTCGTTGCTCACCATCACGAGTACTCCAGTCCTTCCTAGTCTTCACTCGGGAGGTACCTGTCGATTAAGGGATGGGTTTAACTGCCGTTGGGCCCTCACTGCTGTCCTGTAATATTTTAGCCACCCTTTTTGGAGTCTTATTTTCAGCAGCCACCAGACCATAAGAATGTACCCCAAACCCTACCCTAGCCCTGCCACTTACTCCTAGCAGGCAATATTTTCAAAATATCAAGGGGGTACAATTTTTTTTTCTTATACATGGATACAGTAGGAAACTCTTTTAAAATCTTTAGTGTACCTGAAAGTCACTTGGATTTTTAATTTTTTATTCAATATGAAATCTAAAAAAATCCTTTTTAAGATATGAATTTAATGGACTTCAGGTCATCAAATGACATGGATACTGAAACTTCAAGTTGCTCATAATAATCTCTCATCATCCTTTATTTTCTGTCTGATTGTAGTGATATCCTTTTCCCTTTCCATAATTAAAATTTGTGCTTTCTGTCTTTTTTTCCTGAGCATCTATTTAGGGATTTATTAGTTTTGTTGATCTTTTCAAAGAACCGCTGTTCGGCTTTTGTCTAAAATTTTTTGTCTGTTTTTGTTTTCTATGTGATAAATTTCTATCTTATTTCCTTCCTTTTAGATTATGTTTAAATTTGTTCTTTCTTTTTCTTTTTAAATCTCCTAAGGTAAAAACAGCTCATTGATTTTACACTTCCTTTCTAACATAAGTTTAAAACTATAAACTTCCTTTAAGCAATGCTTTAGCTGCATTCTACAAGATTTCACATTTATTTTCATTATCATTCAGTTTAAATTATATTCTAATTTTAAATGATTTCTTCTTTAACCAATGAATTATTTAGAACTGTGTTGTTCCAAATAAAGGGTTTTTTCCTTGATTTCTTGTTACTGATTTCTAACTTAATTCCATTGTGGTCAGAGAACATACTGAATAATGTCATTCCTTTTAAGTTTATTGAAACTTGTTTGATAGCCCCAAATAAGGTCTATCCTAGTGAATGCACAATGTGTACTTGAAAAGAGTGTATATTCTTCAGTGTATTGGTTTTGTAAATATCAATCAGGTTAAAGTGGTTCATATGTTGTTCTGATCTTCTGTTTCTACAGCTATTTTGATCTAATCATACTACTGCTTTCTGGAGCAGTGGAGTTAATTTCTCCAACTATTATCATGGACTAATTTATTGATTCCTTTAAATCTAAGAAAAAGTTTCAGATGGAGAAATGGCATCCTTCATTAAGAAGTTAAGCCACTTGTTGGGGGTATAATTATATACCTAGTAATGGGAGAGTCAGCCTTTAAACAAGGCAACTTGACTCCTTCCTCCATGCTTTTAAGCACCATATCATATACCACCCTTGTCTGTCTTACCTAACTCACAGGGTAAAAACATTTTCCAAAGTGCTGTGTTGACATGAGATAGGTAGTCAAGGGGCTGGTTTAGTTCAAATTTATCTCTGCTTCTTAGAAAAAAAAACCAACAAAAAAACCTAGATGACTTCATGTTTAACACCAGCGTATTTCCCCAAATAGATGGCACGAAACCATACCCTGTATATAGTAGCTGCTAAATAACTGCTTACTGAATGAAAGAGTTTGGGATGACTCAGTACAGGAGCTTAAAACAAGGATAAAAAAGTGGCTTTCTTAGCCTCTAAAGCTAATCTGAACCACAAAGTTTATGTGACAAGGGGGTAAGGCGTCTCCATGGCCCACTCCTCTAATTGGGTTACAATGCCCCCAGGGTCTCATTATGAAGCCTCAAGGTGATTTTGCTAAAAAATGAATGTGCCGACTTCCAAAGCAGAGGCGCTCAAGCCTGGTGATGGTTTTGGCTGGGTGATACCTACCACACAAGCTTCCCCCAACCCTCTGTGCTTAAAAGGTCATAGCAGCCCTCCAGGTCTCTGGCCAGACTCCTTCGCTTTGGCTGCTCACCTGAGGAGGTGGAGCTCACTGAGGTCAGTTCTCCTGTAGGCTTCATCTTTCAGGGACTCTCTGTCTGAAATAAACCTGACCAACCAAGGACCCTTATAGAGAACAGATGTCTTCATCTGCTTTGCTCTTTCTCTCTGTTCTGTTCCCAAAGCCAGGATGGAAGTCCTGCTACAATATCAGACTGTTTCTCAACCTCCTGCCTTCATATGCTTCAAATGGGAGTTTTACATCTGATTTTTTTCCCCAGATTCCCATGACATCACTAAAATTCTTCTCCTTAACCATTTTCTTGCCCACTCTTTAGCTACTGAAGACATGGTCTCTTTGGGTGATCTCTGGTCAGGAGTGTTGTGTAATGACTAAAAGATGGCTTTTGTTAATGAAAAAAATCCGAGCTCTGTACAATAATTTAAAGAGGTTTATTCTGAGCTGAATATGTGTGACCGTGGCCCAGGGAGCATAGTCTCAAGAGGTCCTAAGAAAATGTACCCAGGCAGCAAGTTACAGTTTTGTTTCATACATTCATGGAGACAGGAATTACAGGTAAAATCATAAATTGGTACATGGAAGGTATACCTTGGTTTGTTCTGAAAGGCAGGAGATCTTGAAGGGGGGGAGTTATAGGTGGGTTCAATAATTCTTTGGTTTGTAATTGGTTAAAGAAATAAAGCTTTCTCTAAAGGCTTGGAATGCTTTAAGTTAAGATAAGGAAGTGTGTTAGTCAGAGACAGTGCAATACACTGACTCAAGTGACCTATCAAGCAAATTGATGGCCTGCAAGTGTGATTTAACCTTCGCCTTGCATGGCCTTAGTTCCTGTTAATAATTTAGTATCTTATTGTCACAAAGAGTCTGTTCTGTCAGTCTTACAATCTCTGTTTTAATATTAATTCTGGTCAATTGTATCTAAACTCCAAAAGAGAAGGGGTATAATGAAAGCATGTCCAACCTCCCTCCCCTTCATGGCCAGGAACGCATTTTTAAGCTTTTTTGGGGTACCCTGGGCCAAGAGGGGGTCCATTCAGTTGGCAGGGAGGCTTAGGATTTTATTTTTAGTGTACCCTTCAAAGCCCCATATGCTGGGTTGCATTTTCAGCTCTAACCCTCACTGGTGTGTGAACTTGGCCCAGTCACCCATTCACTCCAATCCTCACTGTCCTCACCAGAAAAATAGGGACAGTCATAGTGGCTTCCTCAAAGTAATATTAAGTGTATCAAGTGAAATGAGGCATTTAAAGTGTTCTGCACAAGACTTGGCATACAACGAGTGATCAATAAATGCAAGCAAACGGCATACTGCTATGGGTACTGTCGCCTCTACTTGTGGAAGTGTTAAAGCTCAGAGAGCATTTCCACATGTGCTTTGTTATTTAGAGGCTTACTAGATGAATTTCTGGACCATGGCTGGGGGCTGCCAGTGGGGAAGGATGTGTGCTTAGAGTGGAGAGGTCAGGGTTGCCCTGGCATGTGATCCCTGAAGCCACCTTAACCTTTTGGAAATTAGAGCAATCCTGAGGGTATTGTCACTGAAGTATAGTATTGGAACACTTTCCACGAACTTCTTACCCACCTGGCAAGGTGCTCTTGCATGTAAATGAATCTTTTGAATACCTGAAGCTTAAAAGACTCTTAGAAGACTTTTTACATTTTATTATTTTAAAGCAGAAATGTTTCTAAATTGCATTACAAATTTTCTTTCTTCTTTAAGACAGAGAATGTATCTGAAAACTGGTGAGAGATCAAATTCGTTGTAAGGTGAACCTCCATTTCCCACGCAAAGTAGTGAAGGGAATTAATAAAGATGTAAAGGTACTTATTTGCTTTTGGCAATCCAAAATAAGTAGTGACTGAGGCAAAGATCTCGATCCATGGAGGTTTATTAAGCCAAAGTTTGAGGACACACCTGGGAAAAACAAAAGCCATAGATGCATCTGTCACTATTTTACTGAAGGGGGATTTAGGAATGTTAGTATTTAAAGGGGAGGAAAGAAAGAAAGAAAAAGGAGAAGGGGGTGGGCAGTGAGGCTAAATGGTTACATTCCTGTGAGGTCCAGGAAATCCACATTTTACATCAGATAAGGTGAATGTTTGAAGATACTATAAAAAGGGGGTGAAGGAAGAATCAGTTATATAGATGTCCCTGGGTGGGTGGAGAAATGATTGATCTTGTCTTGTCTCTGTTCTGCACCTGGGAAGATAAAATTACAATCAACATTATTAATGTGGAATCCAACAGACTTTAGTTTTAGGAGCTAGACAGCCTGCAGACCCAAAGTTATAATTTGTACATCCTTGTTATGGGAGGCCAGCAAGGAATTTCCTTATGAGTGATCTGT